GTGGCTTCCATTAGAATCCCCTTGCTTCTAAAGAGGATAAGCCGTTTACTTAGAGGCGTCAGACTACGTGTCCTGTTTGTGTGAGAATGACTGAAAAGGATGATGGAGTCTATTGGCTAGTTTTATGGGAGTCGTTATCCACTGTCAGCTCAGTTTGCTGACGCAAAACAAAAGCACACAAATCGGTTCACAGATCATGCGACTTTTTACAGCGCACATAGGCTTGCCAGACACATCCGGCCCCATACCACAGAGAGCATAGTACAAGCTTTCCGAAATAAGTAACTGGACTTTGCATTGTCATGAACTTCAAATAATTTCGGCTAACCAGAATGCGCACTCATTTCGAACCAAATTTGCGCATTTCTAAGCAATAGGCATTTATGCACGTTTTAAAAATGCTCCGTATGAGAAACTGATTCACCAACAAGGGGTGATGGCCGCTACATGGTGTGAAAATAACAACTACCTGACTCGGGAAGTATTTCCACGGTTAGGGCTTATAGCAAACAACTTGCATGCCTCTTCTAGCCCCGAAATAAGCAGAACATGTGAGCTACCCACAAAATCGAAGAAACTTATATGTGCCCATTTCAAAACCAGGTATGACAGGAGGGCCTGAAAACGCCCATGCAGTACGAAGGCGCACAACGCATGCACACCAAGGCACCTAGCCAGCAAGCCGGAATAATGAATATGGATACGAGTTAATCACACAGTGAGCTGCACGTTTTTTATTCCTTGATAATGGGCTCGAGTGAGAGCCCGAAACATCCGACAAATAAAATAATGGTCCCACAAAACTTTTTTCCGCCTTCTATTCAATTACCTGGGCCTCGCGTATTTTCAACCATTGAGAATACGAAGAAGTATAGATCAGAAGTATTCAGCTGATCAGCGTTGACCCGTACACTGCAGAGCCAAAACAGGTGTACGTCGGAATGCGTCAAAGTGGTCACAATTATGCAGCACGTCAAACTTTATGCACTTAACTTATTCGTGCATAACTTTCCAGAATAAAAGTCCATTTATCGTGCAGAATATGTATCAAAGTATTCATATTGGTGGATATCAACCTATGTTATATCAAGGCCATTTACTGCATGACTAATTGACTTAGGCGATATCTGCACATCAGTGTCTGCTTCTCTACTAGACTACACTAAAGTAAACAGGAAACTTCCATCAACAAAATCTGCTTCATCTACTTGACAATTGATTATTATCCTGATGCGCGTAAGTCAGGTAAGTTATTATGTGAATAAGCTCGCTATTTTCCAAAAAGCCGAAACTCACTCTTCTATGAAAAGTCTTATTTGCAAATTTTCGTGGGTACGTGTCCTGGGACGTTGCAATGTCAGCATAGTATAAGGTTTACTAAAAATAGATGTGGCAGCTAAAAAAAGTTTCGTTGACCTACTTAGCAGCACCACAAAGTTCGGCTCTGCAGCTGTCTGTGCAGACAAGTTTCAGCAACTTTGTAGTAAGCTGGTTAGAGAACACAGGGATAACTATTAGTTCGGTGTGAAGAAACCCACGAAGAAGGCTTAGAACGGTGACGGCACTCAGGTAAGTAGCATGCCCTTTACTGAGTTTCCCTGTCACCGATCCTACTCCCAATAACCTTCTCGGAGTCGAGCGTTCCCCTTTACCACTTTGTGTAACATTCCAACAAAGATGACCAAAAGACGTCCCTTTTCCTCAAAAAAAGAAATTTCCTCAATCAAAAAACACAGTTTGTGCAGTTGACTTCACTAGCAGCTTATGTTGTTTACCAATTTACATGCAACGAGTGGAAGCGGCTGATGAGCGCTCGCGAAATTTATGGTGCCATTAAATTCTGCTACATACGCTGTCTTCAAATTTGTACCTGGGAAACGATGTTTCAAATGTCAAATTACGTATGCCTTAAGATTACTGTAGACCGGTGGAAACTCTTCGATGAAGTAAATTTCTATAGCACGGTGAAGTAGCTCAACGAAGAACTTAAACACCACGAGAATAGATTACGGATGATGGCTAGATTTTGATCAAGAAGTGAAATAGAAGGATAGACGGAAACCAGTTTTACATAAATCACAATTACATTGTTTCATACACTTACTGACCGATCTCATGAAACGATAACCGGAATTCCGAAATGTATTTTCGATTACGAAGCACTGCTTAAGTGGAGATGTAATATTTATTATCGTGTTGAGTCACGCCAGGATACCGAAATTTAACTACACCCCATTTCGGCCAACAGCAAAATCCGCACATAATAAAACATGGCTGTTTAAGCAGTTTACATTTTCAAATGCGCTGCAGTCCTTACGAAGTCAAAACATGCACAAAATATTATTTTTTACTCATGTGATAGCAGGTCATGTCTCCTACAAATTTAATGCTGAAAGAAACGGAATCTGTGTAATTTTGGGATTTTTTAAGATGACGTAATGTTAAGTCAAATAGCATCCTATCCATTCGCTTTTTAGTGGTCCTAGGGAAACATACGACATAGGACATGTCCGTTACAAAATGTTATGAATCCTATATGGTATCTTCTAAATGTCAAGGAGGATTGTTTGATTTCCGTAACATGGAAAATGTATAGCTTATAGACTGTAAATCCTAAAGGCAAATACAACGCCAGAACGGACTCAGAATTATCAGGGAAACGGAAAACTTGTAAAACCGAAAGATACCCTTACTTTGAGTACAATGTTTGAAGATTACGTGATTTTACACCAAACGAGTACAATAAAGAATATTCTGGGCATGTCTTCCATAAAATTAATTTGCATTTGTAATGGTATCGAAGATCAAAGAAAAAAGCAGATTATTGTTTTTTTTTGTTGGGTCACCAACATTTGTCTTGAATGCAACAGAAGACAACCCAGATTGCGATGTGACAAACTCAAATTTTTTTTACAAACCGAAAGAGTTACTGGCAACTTTCGATTGAGTAGGTGAACCAAATAAGAAACAAGGCTCCCGGAAGAAGGTAAATGAGTCAGCTGACGGCAGGAGGATGTGGCCATAATTGACTACAGTGACAGTGGCGGTGCACTTATTTACAGTGCGGCGGCCTATCATGTCACCGGAATGTGTGAAACAAGTTTTCGGACTGCACACCGTGACACACGGCGGAACCTATTCGTTTTACAAGGCGAGGCAGCTGTGTCGGAGCTGCGCTAGACCAGCGCAGGTGCCAAACTGACATCAAGGCACGCGTTAGTCGGTATGTACTGAGTCTGTGTGAGTCCTTAAGAATTACAGTGCACACGTTGGCACGCGTGAGACAAAGGCAATCATTATACCGAATCTCATCACAATTCGAGTGAAAGGTTCGAATTGGCAACCAGCGCATGGGAGAAGAGAGGGAGGGTAAGGATGATGTGACACGTTGCATCTCAATACATTTGATGAGGATCCGTGAAGACTGGCTAAAATTTCTGATGGGGAAGGCTCTCTGTCAGCTGACAAAATAACCACCTCTCTGGCGAGAGTCAAACAGCGATGACTCCTCTGCGGCACCCCCTACACGTGTTAGATCTGAGTTCGTGTGGCAAGACTGCTTTACAGCTTTACAGCAAATTTAATCATTAGTTCGGTTCACCCGGAAAGACCGATGAGATCGGAAGGAAAGGTAGACCCAGCGGTCGACCCAGCGCTTCTGCGTTTTTTCATTATGAACAATCTCACGTGCCAATTTTTGCGACTTTAAAAGTTGCCTGGGGATGCCCTAAATCGATCCTTCTCCGTAAAGGCTTCAACGTTTCTGCCTTAATGTGACCTGTACAGCATTCTCACTTAGATGAAATTTGAAACCCAACTTCTTCTTGAAGTCCAGTTCAAGTAGATTTAGGGAGCAGGTCACGTACGGCACGCGTACACGGACTAAACTTTGTCAGTCAATGTGATCATGTTTACCTCCAGATTTTCGGATTTTGCCTTGACACTGGAACGCCTTGGATGAGAACAGAGTGCGGTAGATGCGGGTAAATAGCCTTTACTATGAACAAATTCGAGAACAAACCATCAGTGAGACAGGCTCGGACCGAACTACTGCCTGAAATGTAATGCAACGATCAGAGGTCTGATTGAATCATGCTGTAGTTCAGCGTAAGGTTATCATGATTCAGCACGTAGTCAAACTGCGCTTGTTTATAGACCGTAAGCCATGACTCAAATAACTTTCCGTTCACACGATTTTCAACTCTCACGATAATTTCGGCCTCATCAAATTTGAATGTGTGACTGAGTCTCATCCAATGAGCTGCAGTTTGAGAATTGGCGTCATTTCTCCACACCGCTGCCGCATGTTTGGCAATTCGCGTCTTCAGAATTCTTCCAGCTTCTCCAACGTAGTTGCTTTATCCTAAAGATCTTAGAGACAAGCCCGCATGGTCTTCG